ATTCCAACTCACCTAACAGTAAGCAGTCTGAGTCTCAAATGATGACTTATTTTTCAGGAAGGTGTAAAATTACAAAACAATGTGAATCCATCTTCAGGATGAACGATTTTTTCCGCTCTGAGGGCATCCATCGATTAATCGCGCGGACACGAACTCGTCCTCGCGAAAATGAGCCTGTGAGTCAGCGGTATAGTTAAAAACGCGTGACCGGATATAAAAGTGTAAGCTAGAATTGCAAAAACCGGAAATAAACCTTGCTAAGTTGATGAACTAATATCTCCAAAATTAGTTCGGTGACCTGCCCTGATTTTTTGTATACAAATTATTTACATCATTACGCATTCCTGAAGAGAATTTAAAAAAAATTTATCTAGTGGAAACTTTTTTACATTTTAAAACAGCATTTTCCTAATTAATTCAAGTTCTACTAGGTAGTTTTTTTATATCACGTATACAGGTAGAGAATGTGATGACGTTTAAGAAATTTGAAAAAAAAAAAACTAGGTCACCGACTTGGTTTTTGAGATATCTTTTAAAAACTGAGTTTTAGAGGGTCTTTTAGCACTACTTTACTGTTGCCATGGCAACAGATAAGGCCTGACGAACCCCTTAAAAGATTGCCATAACATAGTGTTATGCATATGTTGAGTTATTATCCTGATGATAAGTTTGACAGTCCTGATATCTTTTACTGATTGGCGCTTGCTGTTAATTGTTGAAAACCCTTTCGAGCCTCCTTAAATTAGTTTTTCCAGCTTGTCCCTATGCAATTAAACCGTATCGTAAATAAGGAACAACAAGGTAGTTGTATATACTAAGAGGAGTATGGAAAGGAACAAGATGCCTTATCTTAGACAGTAATCCAATGGTTTTGCTAACTTTCAATATTATAGAGTCAATATGGTTTTTCCATGAGAGTTTATAATCGATTAGGACACCGAGATATTTCACATGGTCTTTACATTGCAGGTGAGTTAATGTATTTGTTTGGCTATCGTTAATGTATATTGTGGGAAGAAAAGGAAGGCGTTTTTGGTAAGGGCGAAAAATTACGAAATTGGTTTTTTTTTAGATTAAGGGTTAATTTGTTAGATACAAGCCACTGGTACACATTATTTGGTCCGACATTCATTTCTTTTTCAAGAGTTTTGAGGTCTTTGTGGCTATGAAGAATATTTGTGTCATCAGCAAATAAATAAAATTTCAATTTCCTTGAGCTGCAGCAAATGTCGCGAACATACAGGAGAGAGAGTAATGGTCCTAAATCTAAACCTTGAGGAACTTCACAAGTAATAATTGACTTTTTAGACTACCTATTTCCAACTACCGACACTTGCGTTCTCTCTTGTAGATAAGATCTGAACCAGTCTTTAATTAACCCCCGAAATCCATAATAAGCTAATTTTTGAAGCAAAATACCATGATCTACATTAATTAATAACCTGTAGGTTGTCTCTTGAAGAAGCAACTGTCACATACCCAGTTTGGCGAGGCTTTGTCTACAGCCAGGCTGTTTGACGCCTACATTTGGAAAAAAGTGTGCTTGGCCAGCCTCGTTACGCATCCCGAAACCGAATACACCACTTTTCGGTGGCATGTCGGTGTGTATGACGTCAACGTATCTAGCATCACTTGGATCTAGTCGGAACCGAGCATCGCGGACATTGGTAAAAAGGGGTCCCGCTGGATCCAATCCTTAAAAAAAAAAGCAAAAACAAAAACAAATACAAGAAGGCAGTAGCAAGGGTCGTTCCGAAGTCGAGCTTCGGTCAGTTTAAGGGCTTAAATAAAAACGCAGGTAAAAGCAGTCCTTCACTGATTGATTTTCTATCCAAATGGGAAACAAAGTGATCAAAATGGATTTTTGAACGAGACTTTCAAGCAAATCTCTGACTCAAAGTACAAAGCATCACGAACAAAATATGGACTGAACGAAAACATCGAATTCTCCATATTTCGCAAGGGCTTTGCTCGTTTCTCGTTGCCTAGTTTAAATTTACTTTTCATGAATTTCCTACCTGTGATCGTTTCTCCAAGTTGACGACAACTCTAACTGAAGACGACTTCGGGTTTAATGGCATCTCTTGTCAGAAAACATTTTTTTCAGAAGTACCTGTAATACGGCCAAGTGTCATTCTGGCGTTATCCTTCAGATAAGTCCCAGCATATCCTGCTGCATGAGCACCAAGGCTAAATCCTATGATGTAAAATTTCTCTGGAGAGGAAGGTGACCCGGAGGCACTGGAAATCAAGAACCTTATGAGCTCCGAAACTTGAGCCCCCACAAGTCGAGTGTTTCCTGCAGCCTGGAAGTAATCTTTATCTGCTCCTTTATCCCAGTCCACTAAAATTATGTTGAAGTCGCCTCGCTTTTTCAGTGCGTCTTTCATTCGCGTGGCCCAGTTTCCTGTATTCTCTAGATTTGATATGCTGCACGAGAAGTATAATAAAGTCTTTAGTCATACCTTTGTATCAAAATTCTTATTTGTTTATTTCTTTAAGGCTTTCAGTACCAACTATCTAAGCCTAGGAACATATATATTATGCGAGATTTTCTGTTAAAAGAGGATACCAGAAGCAAATACTATTAAAAAATGTAAGAAAGTCACAAAGCTGAGGTTAACTCGGACGCCTGTTTTGGTAGTAAGAATTTTCTGATTGGTTGGGTTAAGGTTCCTGGAGAGCGAAATGAAGAAATAGTTGTTTTCGGGCATAACACTCGACCAAATTAGGGTTTGTATGTATTGCAAACATCTAAGGTAGATTATTTGAATTGCCATGACCTATCCGGAGGTTCTTGCTTCTTGGAAACTTTTCAAGGACCTCTCAGCGAACGGTCTTAAGCCTGGACGAGACATAGTGTTCTATATGCAAAGAAGCCCTCGTGCTTCTGATTGGAGTGGTCATTCATGGATCCATGCTGGATTTCCCGAAAAAATTTAGTCTGGGAAATTAAGTCCTAAAGCTTGTTACGCTCTAATTACTATCAACAAGCTTTTCACGAGTGGAAGGGAAACACATTTGAAGCCTTTTCATTGCCAGTTTATTAATATGGGTCTCAATGATTTCGAAATTCTCGGGGATGGTTTAAACCTAAAGCGATGCTTCCAGACTGTACATCCCAGGTTTAAATCCCCGAGTTTCAAATAGTCGTGTTACTTACCCCTCTACCCATGAATCACGAATATAGTTTTTTTGTCGCCTGCTGTCAAACTTAGCCACTCTCAGTCCTTTTTTATTAACATCATTAGCTTCCCAAAGTCACCCCTGGTGAACATAGTAAATTTAGTGCCAACATCAGATGGACTTTGTGGTAGTTTTGGTCTTACAGTGATCAACCCCCATTTAACTCCAGGATGTTTATGGAAGCAGCCATATTTTCCATAGCACTTCTTCCCTTCCCCCTTCTTTTTAAATAAAAAACCTGCAGAAAAAACAAAGAAGCAAAGCCTCGATATTTCGACACATCGGCGTAGCTCGTCAGCGTGCTCCATGAAGCCAGTACAGCGAAAGTAAAGCTTTTGATAGCATTTTGATAGCATTCGACATGACTTGATGTTGCGAAAACTTCGCAACGTTGGTTTATCGGAAATAGCTTGTACCTGGTTTGAGAGTTATTTGACACAACGTCAACAAGTTGTAAAGATTCAGGATACCTTGTCCAGCCCTCTACCCTTAACAGTCGGAGTACCGCAAGGATCCATCCTGGGCCCAGTATTGTTTACATTNGAAATCATTTGCAATTACAAGTATGATTTCTGACCAAAATTGCACACCACGAAGTTCAACCGCCCCTTTATTACATTCGCTTTGAAATCGCAAAATTCAGTTGCTCAGATACAGGGCTTTTTTTGTATTTACAAATGTTTCGTTGATCCGGTAGTGATCCGCCCCATAGTAGGCACGTTTGTGTAAATTTTGATCAATCAACTTAGCTGATGATGTGTTACACGTGTGACTTTTGTGATAAGTGGCCTATAACCAAAGCCGAGGAGCATGTCAAGGTAATCACACGTTCTATTATGATTAAATAAATGTATATTTATTAATTAACAATTGGTTCATGCTTTAGCGTGCACTATCGAGTTATGGAGCACGCGGGAAGTTTGGAGAGCACGAAAGAAGCGTAAGAGTTGCCCGAGGCGATAGCCGAGGGCAACTCTAGCTTCTTGAGTGCTCTCCAAACTTCCCACGTGCTCCATAACTCGATAGTGCACAGCTGAAAGCATGAACCAATTGTTTTAGAACATAGCCGGTGGAATTGTGCATCAAATGCGACGCGAAAAACGGACAACAATATCAGTTGAAGCGAATCGTGACGGCGCTGATGCCGAGTCTCCTTTTCCTTTGTTTTTCTCTTTTTCTGCCTCATTTAAGAACTCTAGCCCATTGGAAAAGGTCGAAACATTGTCTTCGTTTTCGGACTAGCAGGCCCAGTTTCTGTTTGTATCCATTATTGTCGCGAAATGTATTATTTTTCTCCGCACTAGCAATGGCCGCTCGCGCGAAAAATAAATTTCTGGCAAAGTCGGATTTGCTGACGCTATCAGCGTGCACTATCGGGATTTTGAGCACGCTTACGTATAATGAATTTGATTGCGCGACTCTGCTAGCTATGTTCTAATTCATTGTAACTCTAACCTTAGATGCGAATATCTAGACAACCAATCAGATTATCGGAAAAGCCTGACACGCTTTTGTTGATTGATGCCTTGTGAATGAGACTGTGCAGCCATGTTTCTCGTGCCGCGGGATCCGATACCCGATAAATTCAATAGAAGGACCGTTGGTCGTTTCACGCCTTACCGGCTCCTGACACTTCCTAAATGAAAAAATCGCCTAAATTATATTTTCATCGTAAACTGCATTTATAAAGCTTTGTTTTGATGTATAGTTTGTTAGGGTTTTCTTTAAACTAGTGCGCGTACCAATTTTTTTCCGAAACACACCCGCGAAGGTAGGACGTAACCTTAAATTGGCCTTGAGCTCTTGCATGACAGTCGTTCAACGGATCGCATTACATTTGTTGTCAATTTTTAGCCCAAACTCTTTTAAAGCTGGATACGCCACCCATGGCGGACCAAGAAAGAAACTCGAGGACTTAGACTTCAAGGATAAAGCTTTAAGATGATATACATTACGATTTGTAAGTATATATGGCAGACCTGTTCATGAGCCACTAAAGTTGACCTTCATTTTACCTCTGCGAAAGAGACGCGAAGTACTTTTTTTCAACGGATCACTACTGAGGATCCGGATTAAGACGAATATAATTCGAAACACGAATAATAGCATCGAGGTTTCGCGTAACAGCATACGGACACAAATAAGAGCATAAAGGTTTTGACGAACATCATCAGCAAACAGCAGAGTAAAATTCCAAACTTAATTTTAGCGGTAATCACTCCTTATAGTATGCCGTCGACATATCAATTTATTTGCATCTGAGTGAGTGACATCTTTGCATATTCTGCCCCATTCTAACAGTCGTTTGAACGCTTCGCGTACCCACGACTGAAAACCACATCGTATGATTTAACAAGCTCGATTTAATTCCATAAGTCTTTCGTCTGATAATTTTAGCACTAACCAATAGACAGTCGTGGCCATAGTACATTAATTGCGAAGCGTCGAGAATAGTTCACTTTTAATTTGTTGCGTTTCAAACTGTCACAATATTTCCACAAATTCTGGATAATGTTAGAAATGGTTGTCTCAGGTCAGGAAAGTTCAGGCCAAATGAATTACTTCAAGGCAAGGGAAAAGTCAGGGCTGATTTCACTTTGAGTCATGGTAAATTTACATCTTTGAAAGAAGGCAGGGAAAAGTGAAATTTTAAGTAAATAAGATGTTCATCTTGTCTTGGTTCTCTTCGTAATGAAAGATGGCGATGTAACCTTTGATTCGCTACGTCCACTTTATTATCGGTCACATATCTAAATTTAACTAAATGCCTTTGGTCTTCTGTGTCGTCTCGAGGGATTTGGTGAGTTTTTGGGACGGATTATTCCCTTCTCTATGCTGACGCTTTTTCCAGCGCTGATATTAACGGCTGTATCTGTATATGAGGTCACGCGTCCTCGAGTCTGGTTTTATTCAGAAGCTTCTTGCCTATACTGTAAGAGTCCTCAACTACTTTTCCTCTCTGACCTGGGAACCGAATAGGTTTCTATCGATCTCTGAAAACGTGAACTGCATTTTGGTCGGCTAGGTGCATGATAGTAGCTAAGAAACCATTGTACTTTTTAAAGACAAGAAGGGCCATTGTACAGATGTATGCTTTACTGATGCTATAGGCCGTGAAATGTAGGATAGCATCCACCTCTCTGCCCCGCACTGGAGTTTAAGTTACTCTGAAGATTTCTTTTACGATCCTTTTATAAAACTGAATTTGAGTTGTCAGCCCAATCGGTACAATCATATTTTCGTCTACAAACTGGATTTCACTCGCGTAATGCATATGTGCATATGGATGTCCCTACAGAAGTTGAAATTACTCTTTTTCTGAGGTCAAAATGGCTACCTTATGACGATGCAGCGAGAAAACGTTTAATCTTAGATTTTACCATCGAATAGTGGCCGGGCATTGTTGAGAAAGAAAAGCAGTTATTGCCAAATAAATGCAACTCACCTCGGAGATTCTCCATCCTGATGAATTGACAAAGCTGCCTTCGACGAATTGACCTGAGTGAGTCGGGCATAAGTTGCCGTTCTCAAGCCTCCAAAGCACTTAAGATGGCGGAAAAGTGACTTTGTAGCACGTTTCAGCGAAATTCGATCATCAATTCAATAGAAAGCGTTACGTGCTGATCTCGACTCGCGCAGTATAAATTATGTCACGTATCCCAAATTCTTTAAGGTTCACCTACTGTAGGTCCTCATTTTCATCTGGACTGAGCGTTACTCCCTTTTCTTTACTTTTCTATTCATTAAACAAAACTCTTCTACGCTCTTGAGCAAGAAACAGTGCGTCGTTAGAAACCTTCGACGGGGGGGAGTGGGTACTGCCATATATGGGCTATATAGGTATGTGCCGCTGTGAAGGGTATGGTTTTCAAGCAGTTTACTCTAGGATAGGGTATATAAATCAGAGCATTTGGGTCTAGAATAGAGTATGATTTTTCAGGAAACTGAACAGTTGGTTGAAGATTTTATCTAGACTAGGGAAACCGGGAATTGCCACTCAAGCATATAAAAAAATCAAAGCGACAAGTTGAAATTTACGCAACTCAGCCCCGGGAGTAAAAGCAAAGAAAGTATCAATATATGGTTATCATAAAACAGTACTGGATATTAGTAACTGTCAAAAATCGGGATTCAGTGGTATAAGGTTCGGTTTTGGCGTGACTGTGCTAGTGACCCCAGTAGTTTCTGGAAAAAGTTTACTCTAGTATAGGGTAGCAAAATTGAGCTGAACTAGCTTTAGTATAGGTTAAGGGTTCCAGGGTCCCAGCGGCACATCCCCACCCAGAAAATCTTAAAGTATTCCCCCCCACGGGCCTTCGATATTATCCGCGCCCATTGCGTTACATAAAAATCGCAAAAATTGTGCGCACGCGGAAGAAAAAATAAATTCGGGTGTGACTTGACATTACTATGACAACGCATTCCAAGTTATGTTACAGGCATGATTACTAAACTTCGTCGTTTGTGATTTTGCTTCTGTATGATGCTAATCGGCCAAAAAGGTATTGATCCCTAACTGAGCGCTATCAGATCAAATCATAGCTAGTCGGCCGAAAGTCAAAGCAAAGGAACCTTAAGCAATTCTTGCGGAAGAAAGAGGTTCTTAGAGTATCTTTCATTCTAAAGGAATCCTGTATTGACATATCAAAAAGGTACGTGCACTTGTATCTCTCGCAATCCTAATTGTTTGATACCAAAATAATCCTCGTTAGGTTATATCGGATATATGTATCATAAACTGATACTAGAGCAGCGCCGTGGTCGTCGAAATTTTCACCATAGCTTTATTGTTGGTTACATTGTCGTACCTGTAAACAATACCAAATTTTGTATGTGTTTATCCATGTTTTTACTTATGAGAGGGTCTCCGTAAGGGAACGTCTGGTCGAAGTTGCTCGAGACAGAGATTTCGAAGTCCCTCGTGTATTGAAAGAAATTCATGTATTCATATTAAATAAACAATCCACTTGATATTCTAGATTTTTCCAGAGGTCAAAGTCTACACGAGCGAACGCTGTTATGACGCTTATTCGAGACTCCAATTTGACACAATTCAACTTGAAGGACTATTAAGGAAGAGTTGAGAAACCCAGTTCAAAACGAATACCACTGCCGTGTGTATACCATGTATATCGAATACCTTGAGCCGACTATTGTACACACCGAGTTTCAAACCAGCTAGAAATAGCCGGGGAAAACTTGCATGAACCCTTGTCGCTTAGCCAGACTCAACACGCAAAAACCAGCCAAATTCGAATTAGATTTTATTTGAAACAGCGAGGCGCTTTCATCTCATCTAGGTCAACGAGGATAGCCAGGAGGTACGTCCTACTGGAATGTAACAAAGGAATAAAATATCGGTTTCGTCTTCTATCAAATGTTGTAACTCTCTGAACTTGCCTAATTTTCGATAATCTCCAAGGTTTGCCGCTATTTGCATCGAATAAACTTGTTGATATGAAGCGCTTAAGCGATCCAATTCTAAGAAGTGGATCTGAAATCTCAATAAAAAATAAATATTAGAAAAAATATATGCTATTGAAGCGTTAACTCGAGCCTCCTTCCGGAATTAACGTGAGATGAAAAGGCGATTGTTCATGCGAGGTCGTAATAGCTAGTCTGCTCAGCTGTCGGTTGTAGTTGGGGAGCGCTTGAGCAAAATGCAAAGCCCCAAGGGGAAAGAACAAGAAATGTAACGCCGTGTATAGTTCAAACCAACATTTACGATGGCTTTTACAATTATAATAGTAGTGATGATGTAAGCAATATCAAAATTTATTCGTCTATTAGCCGAGCGATTTTTTAACAAAACCCTACCAGAATCTCGAAAATTTCAGCTATAGAAGGGTCCTCGGCTTCTAATGAAGTGTTTTTCCACTTAGATTAGCTCGCTATTTTCAGGCGGTGTTTATTGTAAGTAATTGTTTTGGAAGACCTGGTAAACTTGAAACTTGAAACTTGAAACAAAATTTTTCGGCCGAAACTGCAAAGTCAAAGGAAACATTTATTATAAGCCGAGATACTGCATTCAGAAATAAATAACAAAACAATTTGAAGTTGGTAATATTTATGCGGTCATATTTAGGGATGCAGTGGCTCTCAAAGAAGCCATTTGTTGTTTTCTGCGCCGCGTGGCAAATATACTGTTCGTCCTCAGTGTCGAATTCGTCTTCCATCTCCTCCTCATCCGCTTGTGCTGTTGTTACTTTCGAGTAGATTGCTTCATCTTTCGTGCCGTCGAGAGTGTTAGATTCCGCAGAATTGCCTACTCCCCCCTATTGGTAAATAAACTCGTCACATGATACGGTATTAAAATCTGCAATCACTTAAAAAAGGAAACTTACGTTGGCTTACATACATACATACATACATACATACATACATACATACATACATACATACATACATAGTTTAATTGACCACTCCCCATAGGGGCTTTTCGGGGCCAACACCCACCCATCCCACCCAGGGGAGGACATCCACCACACAGTTATCTCGTGCGTGGGAAATTAACGTCTCCTTCCTCTAACCCTGCAGGAGACGGGGCCTACGGTTTATTCGTCCTTATCCGAGAAGACTAGAATATCTATCCATTTCTTGATTATAGAAAGGTAGCAAATTCTCCTCACTTATTTTAAGACCATGAGTATTGGTCCGGCCGGAGCTCGAACCCTCGACCTCCCGCACAACACAATCCGGCGCTCTAACCAATT